CTTTAACCACCTCAACTGGTGCTCTTCTCTCAGCTCTCCCACTTCCACCTGACGGTCATAGCAACTGCTTCAAACTATTTCTTTCAGTTTTCCTTTGGAGGATCTAAGAGGACCAAGTTGCCTCTGAAAACATGTGGTTAATGCCACTCTCTCATCACAGTTATGTGGTGATTAATGTAGACATCTGTGCTCTCAGTTAATTTCAAACCCTTACAGAGACCATCACTGAACCTTCTTGTCATGTTTGTTCAGAGAGAAAGCAAACCTGGCTGTGACTCTGACCAATGAAAAGGGCGACATCCTAGGCCACGCTTCCTTCTTTGATCACCCTATTGGAGATCTGGTGGATCAGACGCAGTGGGAAGCTTTCCTGCAGGAACACTTCAGTGTTGGACAATGCACAGTCTGTACCTTTCATTCACTGATTTTAACATAAGGTTTTCATTAAGTAGAGACAATTAACATCTGTTGGAAATAATGTGGCCAAGAGCTCACACCTGCAGTGGATTAAACTGTCGTCTTTCTGCAGCCTTTCAACACACTTTTCCTCCACCTTTTTGTGGCACGGCCGAATTTCACCACAGCAAGTGTGAAAGAGATAATGAGGTATGATAAAAAAAAAAAGCCCTTTAAAAAAAAATATCTCTGTATCATTCGATGAGATTCATATATCAGTGCAAGGGAGATACTACAATACACTTTGATTAGAAGCAAGCACAGTATGCACGTCCTGAAAGCTGAATGCAGTATGTGTAAAATGATCATTTTTCTTGATGCGCTTTGTTTTGCAGGGCCATCTTTAACGCCGTTACTGAGCTTGAATACGTCTGTCTGCTCAGCCCACACGTTGGTAGTTTAGGTGATTTAGATTTAGCAAGTTAAAGTCTATAATTCACTTAAGCATTAATTTCCAAGAGGCTCATGCAGGTGTTTTTTGTGCTTGCAGAGCCAGAGCTGGATGAAATATTTGAGCCGTTGGAGCGTCTGACCGACCCCGGGCCTCAGTGCTTGGCACTGATCTGCCACAGAAAAGCTCACTGTCCCTGGCCTATTGTCCGTACAGCCAGGTGATTTCCACTGATTCCTTCCCAGGCTACTAAACAGTAGAGTGAATAAAAGAGTATAGATTGATGTACTATAAATAAACATTTATTCACTTGAATTTTGATGTAAGATGTGATGAAGAACTCATAGGAACTAAGATTCTATGAGAACAGCAGTTTATTTCATGACTGAACTTACAATAGGCTGTTAAATAATGCTTTATAAAGAGTTCTGGCACAGAAGATGCAAGTTTAACCAAGGATGTTTTTAGGAGTGGTAAACGTAGAACTGCCAGAGAAAACAGAGAAAATGCAAAACCCAGACAGAAGGAACTTTAGGAGAACAGTGGAGCCAGCTCGTTACCTTTTCCAGTGACAAGGGGAAATTAAATAGCTTTCCTGATCCATAAATACTTGCCTTTGTTAAGGATTTTTCTAAACCTGTCATAAAGTGCATCTGACAAGGAAACAACTTTATAAGTAGATAAAGTTGATATAACTTTACAGCGCTTTGCTATATTATTAGCAAGCTGTGATGGAAAATTCAACAGTAATTACAATGAGGGTAATTACTGTAACTACACTAGTTTTGAAAAATGTGCATACGAGAATTGTGACTGTTCTAATGGTGCATCACTTTGAATTGAGGGATGGTATTATTTCCTTTTTTCATAAACTATCCTCTACTGAAGGACGTAATAAAGGAAGCCCTGAAGCATGTTTAATTTTTCATAGCTGTGTTAAGCAGGGCTTATACAAGTTTGTGGGCATGGACATGGGCAAACACAGCAGAGTTTTCCTTCTTGTTACACTTCTTTGAAGTCTACCTGGAGGGCGCTTGCGTAGTTTGTATATTGTAAAGGTACTTGGATGTCTGCCCAGAGGCTCACACTCACTGCCTGACAATGAAATTTACATCACTCAGACACAAGCAGACCCCAGTGGACTCACAGATGCAATATCTATCTATCTATCTATCTATCAAGAGAGAGGCTTGCAAAAGTATTCGGGCCCCTTGAACTTTTCCACATTTTGTCACATTACAGCCACAAACATGAATCAATTTTATTGGAATTCCACGTGAAAGACCAATACAAAGTGGTGTACAATCATACATGATTTTCGTTCCACTTTCTTTTTAACAAATAAATAACTGAAAAGTGGTGTGTGTGTAATTATTCAGCCCCCTGAGTCAATACTTTGTAGAACCACCTTTTGCTGCAATTACAGCTGCCAGTCTTTTAGGGTATGTCTCTACCAGCTTTGCACATCTAGAGACTGAAATTCTTGCCCATTCTTCTTTGCAAAACAGCTCCAGCTCAGTCAGATTAGATGGACAGCGTTTGTGAACAGCAGTTTTCAGATCTTGCCACAGATTCTCGATTGGATTTAGATCTGGACTTTGACTTGGCCATTCTAACACGGATATGTTTTGTTTTAAACCATCCATTGTTGCCCTGGCTTTATGTTTAGGGTCGTTGTCCTGCTGGAAGGTGAACCTCCGCCCCAGTCTCAAGTCTTATGCAGACTCCAAGAGGTTTTCTTCCAAGATTGCCTGTATTTGGCTCCATCCAGCTTCCCATCAACTCTGACCAGCTTCCCTGTCCCTGCTGAAGAGAAGCAGCCCCCAGAGCATGATGCTGCCACCACCATATTTGACAGTGGGGATGGTGTGTTCAGAGTGATGTGCAGTGTTAGTTTTCCGCCACACATAGCGTTTTGCATTTTGTCCAAAAAGTTCCATTCTGGTCTCATCTGACTAGAGCACCTTCTTCCACATGTTTGCTGTGTCCCCCACATGGCTTGTGGCAACGTGCAAACGGGACTTCTTATGGTTTTCTGTTAACAATGGCTTTCTTCTTGCCACTCTTCCATAAAGGCCAACTTTCTGCCGTGCACGACTAATAGTTGTCCTATGGACAGATTCCCCCACCTGAGCTGTAGATCTCTGCAGCTCGTCCAGAGTCACCATGGGCCTCTTGGCCGCATTTCTGATCAGCGCTCTCCTTGTTCGGCCTGTGAGTTTAGGTGGACGGCCTTGTCTTGGCAGGTTTACAGTTGTGCCATACTCCTTCCATTTCTGAATGATTGATTGAACAGTGCTCCGTGGGATGTTCAAAGATGGGAAATCTTTTTGTAGCCTAAGCCTGCTTTAAATTTCTCAATAACTTTATCCCTGACCTGTCTGGTGTGTTCTTTGGACTTCATGGTGTTGTTGCTCCCAATATTCTCTTAGACAACCTCTGAGGCCGTCACAGAGCAGTTGTATTTGTACTGACATTAGATTACACACAGGTGCACTCTATTTAGTCATTAGCACTCATCAGGCAATGTCTATGGGCAACTGACAGCACTCAGACCAAAGGGGGCTAAATAATTACGCACACCCCACTTCGCAGTTATTTATTTGTAAAAAATGTTTGGAATCATGTATGACTTTCGTTCCACTTCTCACGTGTTCACCACTTTGTATTGGTCTTTCACGTGGAATAAAATTGATTCATGTTTGTGGCTGCAATGTATATATATATATATATATATATATATATATATATACCTCCTTGAGCAAAAGTGATCATTCCACAGCACACCTGGTAAAGTTAAAGCTGAATTTATTTTCTTTTTGGCCACCAGGTGGCAGAAGAACTTTCTCTCAGTAGTAGGAAGTGCAGAGGGAAGCTCCACATGTTTCTTTGGCAGACTTTTTGCACCAGATACCCTTCCACAGACATCCCAAGGGGATCTGGGGCTGTAGTTCTTTTGCCTGTCACGTGAATGCGTAAACCACTACACTACATAGCTGCACTGAAATGTTAGAAATGAACTGCTTTATCAAACTTCCACAAGATACTACCTTCTTATTTGTGTCCACCTGATGAATTGTACCTTTTACAGTCTTACATGATATGGTACGGTTGATTTTTTCCTGTGTTGTGTTATCTTTATCTGTTTTCTGTGTCGTTTTAAAAAAATGTAGATCTGTGAATGTATGAGTAACCGAATCTGCCTACAGGTGCAAATGAATAACATGAACCCAAAGCTAAATCTAAATGTAAAATCTCAATCTATGATCTAAAAGTGGATAAAGAGTGTTTGTACAGCTGATGACGGGTGACGATAACTGTCAGGCATCAGGGAGCCCGTTCACACTGCACAGCAGAAATAGAATAATAGAAATAGCACATTGACTGGTGATCTTTTTAAGTGTAGGTGTCTCCATTTTTCCGTTTTTCAGGGTTGAGGATCACAATGAAATTATACCTCTGTTTGATGAGCAGACAAACCTGCTGTCTATCAGTCACCAGCCGTTCTTCCTCGCAGCGCTCATTGAGGCCGAGGCCGAGGAGCATCACACCGCGGTTTGCGAGGTTTGTTCCAAGTTAAAGATTTTTTTTCTACTCTTAATTTTGGGTTAATCCTTAATTCATCCCCTCCTGTGTGTGTGGTTCTAAGTGTCTCATGTGTTTCATGTGTGTCTAAAAATATTGTAATAGCAGCTTTGTGATGACGAGTGACTGTCAGAAACCCCGCTAGGGTTCGTTCCCTCGGGACTTGGGAGACGACAGATCCTCCTCTCCCCTCCCCGCCCGTTGGGCCGACATGTGTTTGTGGCAGCATATGGCAGATACAAGCTGATAGCCAGCCAAAGCATGCTCTCACTGAACATATTGTGTCCAGACATCTGAAGCATTTTGGGCTTTTTGTCTGATTATGTTCAGCGCAATCCAACATTGTCCCAGAGGGTTTTTTTTCTTCAGTCCACCACACGCCAGAAACTGTTTGTGAAGCTGCAGAATGTGTCGTTCAGTTATTTTCAGCTTACATCCTGTTTAGATGGTCTGTTAGTGATAAAAGCTTGTCTACTTATGATCAGCAACAAAAACCAGCAAAACAAACTCGGTAGCTGATGCAGATGTGCACAGAAAAAATGCCATTTATTTTTAGTCCTGTTGAAGTTGAGAACAGGAAATGTGAAAGTAGTTTTTCAGTGAAGTTTTAGGTGTTTTTTCAGATGCTATTTGTAAAGTCAGGAACCTCAGAATTATTTCTAAACCTAAATATGAAGCACGTCTCATTTATTGAGCGCCTGGTGAATGCATTCAGGAACACAAGTAAAAAAATATAAAAACCTGATGAAATTTCTGTTTCTGGGCAGCACCTTCTAGAGATTATCTACACACATCAGGGTTTCTCCTGGCTCACAACTGGTCTTTGGGGTCAAGACAGAAAGCTTAAGCTACGAGTCTGTGTTATCTTATTAAATGTAAGACTGACCATTCTTGCGGTCATTTGATAAAGGTAAATCAAGCCTCAGACGTAGACTTTTGTGTTGGCAAGAAACAAAGGAGGAAAAACAGAGGAAGCCAGGAAACCAGAATAAAACAGGAAGTGATAAACCACTGAGAGAAGAAGAAAGCAGTGCTACATTAGTATGATCATACAGCATGTGTTTCTTCTGTAGATTAATGGAGTCGCCGTTGGCTTCATCTGTGCCAGTGCTGATGTCAACCTGAAGTGGCTCCTTGGCAGATTTGAGCTGAGTGAGTTTGACGGTTTGATCAGAGAGCAGAAAACAAAACATCATAAAGTTCCTGCTCAGTCTGATGAAGATGAACATAGGCGGTCTGCAGAGCAGGTAAATAAACCAAACCTATCTCATATCTGAGAAATGATTCAACTTTTCTTATTGCTCCAAAACACTCCTAAGATGTTGGACAGCAAAATGTGATCACTGCTCAAAACAATATAAAGATGTGGAAATTAAGATGAAATGAAAGAAGCACCCTTCTCTCTTTGTCTATCTAATCCTTCCTTTTTTATTTTTAACAGATGAACACAGTCGTACTGTACAGTCTGAAGTCTGTTTGTGTTTGTTGTCACACATCTCAGCAGGAGGAGGCTCAGCCAGCTTCAGAAAAATCCAACACCTTCTGTATTCAGATCTTTGTTATTAACAAGAATTATGAACTGAGGTAAGCTTTCAGAATAAAGCTGACATTTAAAACCTTAAAACTGACAGCAAATACTTTAGATAAGTGTCCTGCGTGTATCTAAAACCTGATGTATTACATCATTACTCTGAGCTCCACATCATTGTGGCTGAGTTGCATTTGAATCCTCACCTCATTCCCCTTCTTCCTCTCCAGGAAAGTGCCCTATTTCCCTGTGCTGGCTCTTTTCAATGAAGGCACAAAGCCTTCAGAACTAATCTTTAAAAACACTTAAAAACCTTGTGATTAAGCAATCCACTTCTTTATCACCATCACAGATAACCTTTTTTCCTCCCACACGATTCAAATGCAACATTTTCTATCCAGCACACTGCGCTGAGCATGCGTGTTTGTATGGTTTATATACTACCAGATGGGGAAAAATATGGCGATATTGGGAGGATGTCGAACAAAATGCAGTAACTTGCAAAACAAAGAGACAAGCCATATCACCATATATATCGAGTGTTGCAATATAAAAAAAAAAATTATTGTGATATATAGGTTTTCTTCCATCGCCCAGCCCTACTTAAAGTTGACCATTTCCATTTGTACTGGTGTCACAAAAAAGTGCCGTCAGAGTTAATTCTTTTATAAGACATTCTACTAAACCACTGGCAAAGGACTTTTTTACTTGATGCTTTTAATGTCTGCCACTGGTCCCACACATAAACATGGACACACTCTGGATCTGGTTTTGTCACATGGTTTACCTGTTTATAACCTTAAAATGTACACGCAAACACGAGTACATTACCCCCGTTCTTCCCTCTTTACATGGGTTGCCTGTCTATTAGAATTTTTTTTTAATTTTATTGATTGCTTTTAAAGTTTTAAATGGCCAGGCCTGCCTACCTGGCAGAGCTGCTACACCTATACACTCCACAAAGGTCTCTCAGATGAACTGACCAGTCACTCCTTGTTGTCCCCATGTCAAGACTGAAAAACCGGGGGGACAGAACTTTCGCTGTTGTGGCCCCCAAATTATGGAATAAGTTGCCCCTCCATATATTAGACTGGCCCCAACACTTGAAATTTTCAAATGACTTTTAAAAACAAACCTTTTTTCCAAGGCGTTTTGGGGGTAGGACCAGAGTCAGCTTGCAGTCAGTTTTAGGTTGCTTTTGATCTTTTTTACTTTGTTAATTTTATTTATTTTAGCATATAGACCAGTACGCACTGGCACAAACTTCTCATACTTCCCCTTGCAACGTCTCTCAGTCCTGCTACCGATCACAGCCAAATTCACTTCCTCTTAAAATCCTTAGCTCTTCACAATAAAACGGGGGACAGCTCTTTTAAATCTTAGAATTCTGACTTTTTCCTCAGAATAATTTTTCTCAGAATTCTGACTTTAATCTCAGAAAAAACAGGTGCCCACTCAGAATTCTGAGATTAAAGTCAGAATTCTGAGAAAAAAGTCAGAGTTCTGACTTTAATCTCAGAATTCTGACTTTTTTCTCAGAATTTTGACTTTACTAAGATTTATGTCAGAGTTCTGAGTTTAATTTCAGAATTCTGACTTTTTTCTCGGAATTCTGGAAAAGAAGGAAAAAAACACGTGCCCACTCAGGATTCTGAGATTGAAGTCAGAATTCTGAGATTAAAGTCAGAATTCTGAGAAAAAATAATTCTGAGAAAAAAGTCAGAATTCTGAGGGGAAAAAAGTCAGAATTCTGAGGAAAAAAAAGTCAGAACTCTGAGTTTTTTCTCAAAATTCTGAGATCAAACTCAGAATTCTGACTTTTACCTCAGAATTATTTTTCTCAGAAAAATCAGAATTCTGAGATTAATTTTAATCTCAGAATTACGTGCCAACTTCTTTTTTTCCCCCAGTGGCCCTAATCCTCTTCTGTAAATTTCACCTTTGAACATGGATTTCAACAATTTCAGTATTTCATTTTGATAAATTACCATTTTAACCTGGTTACAAACCAATAACTTGATCAGTTAAAATAAATAAAGCAGTTAAAGAAAACAGGCAAATGTAAAATAAAAAATAATATTTTTAAAAACCCACATGCACTGACTACATCGATAGGCTAACACATAACAAATTGTGTTTGTTTATATATAATCCATATTCATATGTATCATATTGATAACAACAATGTTGATATTGGTAAATAAAAAAATATTACATTTATTAACTATGTCAATTTCCTGCACCTGTCATAGACGTCCACATGATGTGGACCTACAGTAATTAGTCTTTTATATGTATTGTAATTACATGTATGCATGTGTGCATGTGCATAGATATACATACCCTGTACAGCACTTTGGTATGTGAAAACCGTATTTTATAAGTAAATTATTATACTGACTTATTTAATTTACATATGTTATCCTCCCTGCTGTGTTCTGTGCATCGCTCCTCAATTTTTGTCAGCTTGTTGTGTTGCCTGCTTTATTTTTCCCAACACTGTTTTCTGATTTTCTTGTGTTCATTTTTGGATTTTAGACATTTTGTGTCACTGCGATTCCTTTTGTGTTTGCTTTCATCATAAGCATCTAAATTTATGTACAATTTTAAGTCAATACCTGAAATTGTAGTATAAAAACACTTTAAGTCATAATCCAGATATAATAAAATGTTTAGTAAAGAATATTGGCTATGTAAGTGATGTGCAGGCCATGGAAAAGTAAAGTAAACACGGCAGCTAAAGTTATTAAAAGGTATGAGGCAACTTCTGCAAAATTCACAGATGTCGACTGTCAGATATCACCGTTTAAAAATGGGGAAAATATTCAGAAATATTCCATGTTTTAATTAAAATATGTTTCTCACTTTTTGGAGGCTTTGACTCGGCAGCGCTGGTGGCAGCCGTCCAGAGCTACATCAGTCATATGCCGCGTTAAAGCAGGGAGAGTGACTGTTAGTTGGCTCCCGCTGAGCCCCCCTCACCGCCGCCTTACCTCCCAGCTGTTACTGAATATGGAGTCGAGTCGCTTCCTGCCGAGAGTGAGCACGTTATTAATGAGAGCAACGCTTAAAGTGACAGAGAGCTGAAGGCGAGAAGTCGTGCTGGAAGCAGCGGGCAGATTGGTCGGACAGTTGTTCCACCACAGTGATCACCAGTTTGGCACAGACTCGTAGTTTCACTTAACTTCCTCTTCCTCTTCTCTTCCAGATCAGCGGACTTTATTCCTTTTCTGTTCCAGGTTTTCCCCGTGAGTATCATCTTTGCAAGTTTAAAGCTCTGTCAGATGTTCTCTACATTATGTCAGTGACCCCTGGTTTTTCGCTAGACCTGAGAGTGGTTCACATGCCTGAAAATGTTTTTTTTTTTCTTTTTTGGACATTAAAGCTTTTTTTTAACACGTGAGAATTAACTTTCCAAAAGTTACAGGCAATTAAGATGTTTAGTTATTTATTTTTTAAAGTTTTTTTTATTTTTTTTATTTTAGCAATTGTTCAGTTGATTTGTAATTGATGATGTGGAAAAACAAAAAAAAAGGGCAGGGAACAACTACAGTTGGTAATCAGAGAAACTTTGTCTGGGTGTCTCCTAGTCAATAACTCCGAGGCACCCACACAGTGTACTTAAGAGGTGGCTATACCAAATGTAGCAACAAACTGAGCATTAGCATTTTGGCCACAGCCAGTAACCAGCTAACCCTCAGTTATGCGCTAACACTAGTTGTCAGCTTCCATAAACCATATGGGTCCAACCCACAGGCACTGCTAATAAGTGCTAATTAGAAACAAGCTAGTAAAATACTAGAATTTCACTCAACAAAGCGAAGTACAAATTTCTTAGATGGTCTGTTCCGAACAGAAGACCAAAATCTCAAGGCTGCTCGGTACAACCTGCCTTAAAGTTGTGCTGTTTTGATGGCTAGGCCTGGAGAGAGAAGAAGAATCAATTTGATTTGGGGTTTTTGATCATTAAAAGCTGTATATAAATAAAAATTGTATTACGTTCCTAAAACAAACAGAAATCACTGCATGGCTCTGATAGGTGCTCCACAGTTGGACAGGCACTGTAACAGGATGTGTCCATTGAAACAAATCAGTTCATGGAATTTCTTCTCTCCTAGATTTTACACAATCAGCTGTAAGTGACATTATTGCAAAGTCGAACAGTTTAGAAATCACAGCGACTCACAGTGACAAAGTGGAGGACCATCTAAAGTTACAGTGCTGAGCTGTATATTGCATAAAAGTCACCAATGCACTGCATCCCAAACCTTCTCTGGCATTAACATCAGCACAAAACTGCACCCCAGGAGCTTCATGCCGAGCATGGTCATGCAGCTCCTGTTGGTGTAATTTGTAGGTGGCCCAGTGTTTTTGTCCATATATGGATTATTGTTCAGTTGTTGATGTGTGTTATCTTTGTTTGTGTCAGGACCAGAACTTCTGCGTTATCACAGTTCCAAATCTGTCCACTGAGTTCCCCCTGTTGCAGAACTTTATCAGGGTGCCGTCAATTCCCACCAGCTTGTCGCAACATGAGCTCTATATCTTTCACCGCGATGGAGTCAGGTAACTCTCACAGCTCAAGTTTTGTTTGTTTCCCAAAATGACAAATGAACAACACCGATAGTGTATTTGAACCTAATGACTCTGTCACTTTTAACATTTACATTTCCTCTAATATCCACTGGTGTGGTCTTCTGCTTCAAGGTTCAACATGTTTTGCGTTCAGAGACGCTGTGCGGCATACCTTGGTTATATTGAGTGGTTATTTGTATTGATTTGAACTCATTGTATTAAATTACTGTTGCCTTCCAATCAGTTCGAAGCAGTCTGGCCAGTCTGACATCTGACAGCTACCAGACAGTTTAACTCAGAAAACTGAAGTTCACTGTATATTTTCTCTTTTTCTGACATTTTCTGCAAACCCTAGAAATGGTTGTCTGGGAAGACCCCTACTAAATCAGCAGTTTCTGAAATACTCAGACCAGGCTGTCTGACACAACAGCCATGCAACATTCAGTGACTTAACCACATTACTTCCTCCATTATGAATCTCTTTTTGAACTTCAGAAGGTTGTCGTGATCATTTCTGCAGCCCTACATCCATCATGTTGCTGCCGTGTGATTGGCTCGTTAGATACTTTGGTTATTGTAAAGTTGAACTTCTGTACCTAATAAAGTGGCTGAGTATGTTTAGTGAAATTTGAAAAATCATCCATGTACTCCTGCAGTGCTGAGCCCAAGAGATCAACACATTCTTTAAAACAGCATCGATACAGAGCATGAACTGCTCAGTCATTTATAGTGATTATACCATGAAATCATTTATGAAGGCTCAGAGCACTATACAAAGCATTTCCACAGACTCTTTAAGTGTTTTTTCTCCACAGGTCTTTGAGCGTGAGGCCAGCCGTGGCTCTGAACCGCTCTGCTGTCTCTGCTCTGGTGAAGGATCTGAGTCTGAACGAGTCTTTGCTGCAGGACCTGGACCGCTACTACGAGACTGGCTGTGACCGGGTCAGCCAACAAACACTGTTATTAACACACCTGCAGTCAGATTCACAAAGACAGACCTCAGCTGTGCTTTAGATCAGACAAATACTCACACATTCAGATTAGGGCTGGGTATCGTCACTGATTTCTAGAATCGATTCAATTCCGATTCACAAGGTCCCGAATCGATTCGATCCACGATTCGATTTAATTCGATTCGATTCGATTCAATTCGATTCGATTCAATTCGATTCGATTTGAATCTGGGAAATTTTGACAGTCAGAAATATTATAATTCAGATCAGTACATTTACATATTTTTGTATCTATAAAAAGGAAGCTGACACACGCAAGACTTTATCAATGGTGTGAGCATCACAGCAGATGCCTTTGTGTCAAAGTAGCTGA